TGGTTTCTCGGTTTCTGCTTTTTGAATGATTTTTTAAATCTATTTGAATTAAGTAACGAATTAACAATCTGTTTATGAGATAAAAAGATATAATCTAAATCTAAAAAAGGATTGGAAAAAATATACAACTTATTTACATTTATTACTAATTAATCACAATTTGATCTTTATAAGGCTTTATCATATCAGTAAGACTGCTTATTATCGTCAAACTGCATATCAACCTTTGCTTCTAAATAAGATACGGTTGCTGACTTTTACCATCATTCTTGTCAATATTTCGCATCAGTATCAATTACCTGACAATTCTATTATGTCAGTAATGAATTGAATGAAAGCAAACAACGTAGTAGTCATCGAAGAAATTAACAATAAGAGAGACAGTAAATAAAATAATACAACACAGTTATCAATACAAAATATATTAGTATTTCCAATTTCGCACTGCTTTGCTCCCTTAGGTCAGCTTTGACCAGAAGTCTTTATTATTCTTTACTGCTATCCCGGCAATTATTGGCTGTGTTCTGCAAAATTTTGAAGATAAAAAAATAAATATGTAGAAGCAAATATGATCTCTCGTCCATTCATTAACTTCATTCACTGAAGTAATTTGCATGAATTCAAGTACTCGACAATGATGTAAAAAAGTAAATTAGGAATTTGTCGGTGAATTATTTCCCTTTTTAAGTGCTAAATTTTTAGATTTGTATCACTGAAAATCAAATTATATTAAAACATAAAATATATTAACCACAGAATCCTTAAACTGTAATGCATTTTACCTATGCTCAATTTCAAGAAGTTTAACGTAGAATTTTGAAGCTATACGTAAAGTTTCATTACTCGCATTAGTTTCGGATATGCATTATTATTTGTTTGTATTTCGCATAAACAATTCAACCATCCCACTAATTTTGTGACAAATTTTTAAGGAAGAAAAAATACAAAAAATAATAATAATAATAATAATAGTAATAAAAATAAAAAGTTTCGCTCAAATATTTTTTCATAGAGCGTTATCATAATTGGCACAAATTAATTTCTTAATGTGTAGTAAATTTCAGACAATTTTTTTCCAAAATTAATTTAATTTTTCACACAGTTTTATTGTTCACTTAATCACATAATGATAATGAATGATCCGTAAGAGATATCACTTCCTCACACATAAAAGTATTTTTAGCACGGAAATGGCTGATATCATGTTCGTAGTTGATAGTGAGCGAAGAGTAAGTAAGTCTGAGATAAAATTTAGCATAAATCAGAAACAGATATTCAGAGCAATGTTACACCAGAGTTTTCAAAGACGAGAATTGAATTCGAGCAGTTAATGCATATTTGAAAGAAATTATGATTTGAAACTGTACGAAAAAAATTTGAAAAACAAAACGACATTTTTATTGAAAAACTTTCGTTATCTTTTCTTTGAAGACTGCAGTTTAAAATTTATATGAAGGACCCGTCATAAATATGTGAACATAAACATCAAAAAATGGTATGCTTGTTGCGACTACTGTAATGAACGCAGTGCGACATTCAGAAAGAATAATGATTGTTTAAAAAAAGTTTTTCAGCGCAAAATATTACATAGATTTTATCAATATTATCTACTTGTGATAAAAAACTGAAATGTTCGCGCTAAGCATTCGAAAGAACTAAGCGTTATTATCAAGCATTAAGTATGATAGAGAAGACTTCTTTGTCAAATCTCCCAAGCAGACTTATAACTGTAAGTTTAATTGGAAAATCTGAAGTTTTTTCAAAGTGAAAGATAGCTAGCGATACTTTTGCTGGCGTTTTAAAACATGTTAATAATCTGCTAATTACTTATCTGACTAATTATTTGATTAATTAAGTTGTGAATTAAATTATTTTTTCAAGCATTTGCACTCATTTATTATAATTTATAATTTTATAACATAGCTTTAAATGAATGTTAGCACTATTTTTATCAAAGCCATGTTTCTCGCAGGGCACTTCCATGTATGATAAAGAGCACTTGTTTAATATTGGATAACATTTGTAGTGCACCGAATTCTTCACAAACCACACTTATCACCACATTTGATATTTCTGATGCACTCAATACTGTAACATACAGCAAATCTTCTGTATGTTCCTGTAGTAAAGATGTAACTTGACGGGATTTCCACTGAAATTTGACAGTCTTGTGGTAATTATCAATCAATGTTGCCTAATTGTCAGTCTAATTGTCAATAACTGCAAAATATTTAAAACTTAATGAATTGCTTAATTAATTAAATTAAATTATATAAACCAAAAAATTGTACGCATTTTAGAAACAAATCAGATGAAATACATGTAATTTTATCTAAAACGTTTTCAATAGTTATTGTTGATAAGAGTAGCTCTTTTTACAAAATCTGTCAGTCAGTCAGTCAGTTATCTTTCATTAGACTTAGACATACACTTCGCATTCTCGACTTCAGTAGTAAAAGAGCATTACCAGTAATAATCACTACAAAAAATTATCCAAGTTTATATTATCCAGAATGCAATTTCACTTCAAATGCAAACTCAACAAATGATTCATTCATTTTAATTTGAGAGAAAATTTAGTGCTGCATGAAAAAAAGAAGGATTAGTATGCCGACCATATATGATAAAATCTCAGTAGAACTCTTAGCAATATTCAATACGTTTATTGGAAAAAACGAAATCGCTCATCAATAGCTGCTGTATTAGTGTGAAGAACTGAATGCAAGCTCAATAATTTTTTAAAAAAATTATAAAATCATAAATTTTAGGAATTCATTTTATCAACGATTGGTAAGTTTGTCTTTGAGTAAAGAGTTTCACAAATCCAATCGTTATTTCAACCAATTAATAACATAAGTAAGTTTCATTGGTAACATCTGGTGAATTGTAGAGTGGAATGTACGTACAATTTGGATACAGAATATATCATTTATTAATCGTATTTTCCTTAAAAAACTTTCCAAAAAATTTTAGCCTTTAAATCAAGAATGATAGATGGTAGAGGACTATTACATTCACCTTAAAATCTCCAACTGGCATTAATGAAAGCGCTGCATGAATGCATGGAATGAGAACAGAAAATAGCACTGAACTGTAAAATCGAACACTGTGCTGGAGATTGAACTCCATCTTCTATGACGAGAAGAAGAAGCAGTTTAGTCGCTTTAGAAATAAAATTGTTAAGTTTGCAAAGATAAAAAGGAAAAATTGCTTTCTCAGAGCCTTATTGTTCGTTAAAATGAGAGTTGTTTGATTTTTTTCATGCAAATTATTGTTTATAAGCATTTATTTCCTTCTGAATGATTGGATTAACTCAGCTATTGATGCTGCTAAAACTAATTTCATATCGTCAATTCTGATAAATAAGAAAGACCAAAATACATTTTCTTGAAAACAATGTGGTCACGCATATTATAAGTCGGATAAGCTACTGCTCTCTTCTCATATTAGCCAAAGTAAGAACATATTTAATCAAGGTAGTAAAGTGCTGCGTGAAAAATACATACTTTCATACTTTAACTGATACTGAATTCGAATGATATTTTGCAGTCAGAATTCACAAAATATTTGCCTTTATTCACTGCATAAAGATAAAATCACGATAAAAGTGTTTGTATTTGACATACACAGAAAACTGCTACGTTTCTCAAATTTGAAAACTATCTATATTACATATTAGCTTATTTATGTTGATAATGATTAAATTATTTGTGCAAAATAAGTTTTATCTAGCTTAAAACGTAATAAAAGCAAATCTCAATTATAAGAGTCTAATATTCAAAATAACATTATAAATTATATATTAGCTTCATTTAATTCCATGATGATTGAATTATTGATGCAAAATAAGTTTTACCTAGTCAAAACGTAATAAAAGTAGGTCTCAATTATAAGAGTCTATAATATTTAAAATAAAATTATAAATTACATATTACCTTAATTTAATTTGATGATGATTGAATTATTAGTGCAAAATAAGTTTTACCCAGCTCAAAACGTAATAAAAGCAAGTCTTAATATTCAGAGTAAAAGATTTAAACTGCAATTCAAACCATTTAGAAAATTATATGATGGTTATTTATGATACAGTATAATATAATCAAATTATGCACATAAAATTAGTAGTAATGTTGTTACTAACTTGATCAACAAAGTAATATCAATTATTATTTAAAATTTTCATATTTAAAATATCAATTATATATGAGTACAGATTTTAAATCTTCAAACATAACCCTCGAAATTACTACTGTATATTTAACAGATTAGGTAGATAAAAATTATTTTATTTAATAATCATTGCATTCTGTCACTTCATGCACAACAATACTCACTTAATATCTGTGTAATTAATGACAAACTGATCATTACTTTACTGCTCAAAATTTGAACGAAATGAATGCAAAAATTTTCTTCTGTTCATCTGACAAGTTTGAATAACAAATAATGAGCTAATTACTCTCTCAAATATGTCTATCACTTTCATTCTTCTTCATTGACTTCAAAAGGACTTAATAACTTCGCCGTAATACTCCCATTCTTTCATACAATCCTTCATGCAGAAGAATATGAAAAAGTAATGAAGGATAAATCATCGTAACAAATCTTCATAGAAAATAAGTCATCATAATTATTCAACATGGTATTAAGTTATTTGATTTCGAGTTTGGAATTCAAATTTTCATTTTAAAAAATGGTCTGAATTACTTAAAGCAATCGTCCATCCATATTTTACTGCACATTTTGTATCAGTAAATGGATGAATTGCTAGCAGTGATCGTCAAAATTTGCAGAAAAGGATTAATGGGATTGATGTATGAATGGATGGGAGAGAAGTTTGGGTTTCTAATTTCTTTTCAAGTTTTTGCTAGAATATTGGTGAGAAGATCTGGTTAAGAAAATTGGAAGATACGATTAGAATTAGTTAATTATGCAAAAATGGAAAAACTTTTCACACTTTTCATTTTGAATAATTTGTGAGCAATCGAATGATTTCAGATATGACTAATGAAACTAATAATGCAAGTGTAGAAGGCGATAAAAAGTTGTCTAAAAAAGAATTGAACAAATTGGCAAAGCAACAGAAGAAAGCAGAAAAGAAGGCTGAGGTTTGGAGCTTGTAATTATCTTTTGTGGACTCAGTTTAGTTCGTTCTGAAGTACCAACATGACTTTTATCATTTAGTATGCAGCTGAACAAGCAAAAGAAAACGAAAAACTGTTAAACGAAGAAGATATCTCCAGCGGTCTTTATGGTATTTATGGGCTAATACAGTCTGCTGAACGAAAAACGTTAAATTTTGTCGATGTTAAAGATGTCGTATTGGAGTTAAATGGCCAGGAAGTCAGTTTTTGTATGCATTTGTATAAAACTTCAAAATTTTCTACAAGAGTTAAACAGAGCTTTAAAAAATACTCTATATTTAATAGATTGAATGTTTTTTACAATTTTTCATCTAGTAAACTTAATATCCACAAACATTAGTTTGAATTTTTGCAGCAAAATATGATTTCATGCAGTAATTTCAAAAATAAGATGATATAGCTCGCAAAATGTTGAATTTAAAATTTGTTAGCAGTTATTTGAGATTCTAGTCTCATGTATTAATGAATATCAGATTTGGGTGCGAGGCCGTTTGCATACTTCGAGAGTAAAAGGGAAGACATGTTTCATTATTATTCGTCAGCGAACGTATTCTGTACAGGGGATGTTGTTTGTTGGTAAACAGATCAGTAGAAATATGCTGAAATTTGTTGCTAACATTTCAAAAGTAAGATATTTTCTATCCTTTTCTTTTTCTTCAAAAGATGAATATTTCAAAGTATAGTTTTTTCATTTTCAACGTTAAAATTTTAGGAATCTATCATTGATGTCCGAGGTGTCGTGAAAGAAGTGGAACAGAAAGTTAGTAGCTGTACACAAAAAGAAGTTGAATTACATGTGACAGAGTTATTCGTAGTTAGTGCTGCGGAACCACGTTTACCACTACAGATTGAAGATGCTGCCCGACTTAAAGTGGAAGAAAAAAATGAAGAAGAGTCATCTCTATCTGTCGTTAACTTAGACACACGTCTAGATAATAGGTTGTTTACTGTATGGCTCAGTTAAAAACGGCTTCAGAAAATTGATTGATGAAAACTATATTTTTTGGCATTCAGAGTGCTTGATCTTCGCACACAAACTAGTCACGCTATATTTTCTATACAAGATGGTATATGTGAATTGTTCCGAAACACTTTAAAAAAACGTGGTTTCTTGGAAATACACACGCCAAAAATCATATCTGCAGCAAGCGAAGGTGGTGCGAACGTTTTTGAGGTATAGATTAAATCCTTATTTTTATCCAGTTTCTAGCACTATTGCTGCTTGATATTCTTTTTTTCAGGTTTCCTATTTCAAAGGTTCAGCGTATCTTGCACAGTCTCCTCAGCTATATAAACAGATGGCGATTGCTGCAGACTTCGACAAAGTAAGCTATTTTCAGAACTGATTAGTTTTGATAAATTTTTGTTGACTTCTTATCAAATATATGCACTTTGCAGGTTTTTACAATTGGTGCTGTCTTCCGAGCGGAAGATAGCAATACTCATCGTCACCTAACAGAATTTGTGGGTCTTGATGTCGAAATGGCATTTAAATTCCACTATCATGAGGTTAATTTTTGTTATCGAAAACTGAAGACAATAATGAACGTTATGAAGTAGCTTTTTTCTTGAAACAAAATTTCTAGGTCGTTGAAACAATTGGTGCCGTTTTTGTCGATATATTTAAAGGTCTGCAGTCAAATTTCCAGCACGAAATTGAAACAGTTGGTAAACAGTACCCCTGTGAGCCTTTCCAATTTATTGAACCAACTCTTATACTCAAGTATGTTCTGCATTGCATTATAAATCATGATAGCTATTTTAAATTGTTTTTTTTAGAAATTTATTTTGAAGAAAAAAAGTTCAGTTGCTCCTATTTCTCTTATTTGTTTCATTGCTAACATTAATCTAGCACTTGTTTAAAAAACTATAAAATTTTTCTGTTGCACATAAGTCTGAAGAAAACGTGACATCCCAGAAAATATACTTCAGATATCCAGCTGCAGTTAAATTATTACAAGAGAATGGGGTGGAGATTGGAGACGAAGATGACTTAAGTACTCCAGTCGAGAAATTTTTGGGCAGATTGGTCAAAGAAAAGTATCACACTGACTTTTACGTACTCGATAGATATCCATTAGCGGTTCGCCCATTTTACACCATGCCAGATGCGAATGATTCAAAGTATTCTAACAGTTACGACATGTTCATGCGTGGTAAGGCATTCTCCTGAACTTTTTAGAAATAACTAACATACATGTACCTATTACTAAGCGTTATCTCTTTTCTTGCGTTATCTCTTTTCTTGTTTATTATTAATCTTTGTTAATATCTGGTATGCTTGGTATTTGTGAACAAAATTTCAGGTGAAGAAATATTATCCGGCGCTCAGCGAATACATGATCCTTCTTTGTTAATTGAAAGAGCTAAACATCATCAAATTGACTTACAGAAGATACAGGCCTATATTGATTCATTCAAATATGGCTGTCCTCCTCATGCTGGAGGTGGTATTGGTAAGTATAACATATAAAGAAGATAAGTTAAACGTCTATGCGCAAACAGTATGTTTTGTATTTTAGGTCTGGAGCGTGTAACAATGTTGTATCTTGGGCTTGGAAACGTTCGCTTAGCTTCTCTTTTCCCTCGCGATCCAAAAAGATTAACCCCGTAATAGGTGTTTGCAGTATTAAATTTATAGTCTTGCTTTTATTGTGTCACCAACTTCACACTTTGTTGAGTAGTAACCAAGTTGTTTTATATGGCTGCATAAATTGTGAAAGTAAAGTGCATTGCATACCAAATGTAACTTTAATATTGAAACGTTTCGGCTTTTTTTTTCCTACGTATTATTAGTAGGAGTAACACGTTGTTCAAAAAATAAATTTTTTAAATCTATAAACTGTAGATTTTAGTGCAGTCCTTCGTGAATTTTTTCGAGGCTGGTGGTTTCGAGAGGAAGTAGTCATAGCAAATTGTATTCAATAGTTTTCATTCTGGCTTGCGACTTGTTTATTTAATTAGATAATTGAGATTAAATTCTATCGTACTATCAGACAGCTGTTTTAGGTTTCTACAAATTATTCATAACCTGCACTATATTTAGTGCTTAACTTTGCTTTCATCCAATGTTTCATATATGGAGTAATTAGAGAAAATTCTTAAAAAGTTTCTACTAGGCGTGAGGAATCATATCAGCAGTCATGATTTTGTCGAGGTCGAGGAATGTATTTTGAAGATCATAGATCGGGATCGAAATCTTGGAACTTTATCATTGGTAGCTTCATCGATACAAAAAAAAGCAGCAACAAGTATCAGATATGAGTTTAAGTGGGGTAGAAATTGTTCTTGTCATTGATATGTAGGGTAGGGAAGCAGTAAGCATTGAGTACTGCAGAACTGTGCTGTGTCGTAAATACTCCGACTAATAGTTTTTGTGAAGTGTTGCTGATTTCGTCGGAGTTCAGTTTGTTGCACGGCGATATTCTTTTTTAACGAATGATTTGATCGCTTCAGTGAAGAGGTTGAATCTGCAAAGAATATTAAAAGGAAAGACAGTAACATTAGTCACTTATAGGGCAGTATTTGAGCTACTTACTGTTCGTGGTAATTTTGGAGCAGTTATTTGCTGCGTAGCATTTTGATAAGTTATCCTTTTCCTGCAATGCTGAATTAAATAACATGAAGAAAGAGTAAGCAAGTTCCATGCTTCAAGAATAATAAAATTTATAGTCATAAACAATGATTAGGTCAACAAATTTAACTTTAACATTATCAGTTCGAAGTAAATCAGTCAGTGCAGCAATGTAACTGATTGCAGCCTGTAAAATTTTCAGTTTGGATACTCGTTTAGTGTTAGATCGAATAGCGGGAAGGTGGTACTTTAAGGTTACAAATGCCTAAAATAGTATTATTTTAATCACATATTGCGGTGCAAAGTAATGATTTGAAAACAGTAAAACTAAAATTTATTGCACAATAATTTTGTTAGTAAAACAGTATTTTATGCGTAATAGCATAGTTAGTGGATTAAAAAAATGTAAGAAATGCGTTTTGCCTGATTGACAGCGTAGACGCGATCTCTTTCACGAGCATTTCGCCTTGCAACCACTATAGGGGAACGCTGCCATTCACGTTTTAGCATCATACACGAGTCCTCATTAGCATCTAACGCCATTGCTATACATATTCAAATCTAATCTACAGATTTGTAATTTAAATTGGTAGTCATTTGTCAAATTTTAACTTATTAGTTTTTTTTTTGATTAATAAAAAATCAAAGTTTCTTAATAATGTCTTTGAATAAAGATAAAAAGTAATACAGATCATTCATTTTTGAACTACCATTTGTAAATAAAATCATTCATTGAAGTTAGGTAAGAATATATTTAGTCAAAACATATTATTATTTTAGTTTGGGATATAAAAAGGAAAAGCAACAAGATTGTTCTCAACAGCTTATCACAATTTTGCAGATTCTAAGATATGCTTTCATTCTGAAATGAAAATTTTCTGGACTATAAATAATTTTTCGCACTATACACTATTTTTCATACTTTTTACTAAGATTTTTCGTAAGGTAACAAGAGTAAAGTAATCTGTTTCACCGAGAGAAAACTAAATTCGAAAGACAAAACAAGTAATAATAAGGTCCTGATAGAAATTAATGTATTTTATTGATCAAAATGTTGTATTAATGGAATTTTTAATTATTATTTGTTAAATAATTAATGAGTTTTAATCATTTTCTGCTCAATAGAATTTCTCACTTATTTTTGATTTTTAATTAAATGCTTTCAGTGGTTAAATTTTTAAATTTTTAACTTAAAACAAAGATTTTTAATTTTTTCTTGAAGAAATTTTAATTGGATGAGAAAAAAGAAATCAGCTAAGATTTATTCAATTTCCTTCCAGTATTTTCTAATAAAACTTGGGAATTAATCTGAAAATCAAGTTTTATAGTTACAAGATCATTTCATCGTGTTTTTAAAATCATAAATTACTCCGATCAATGAGTTTAATCAATCACTTTCGATGTTTCTAATTCAAATACGACTAGTTTTTTCTAAGATGACCATCGTTGATCTGTTGGACCAAATAACTTTCAGAGTATTTATTCCACTATGTTGTTATTATTTTATTGTTGTAAAATGTGTTGTGTATAATAGTAATAATGCAAAGTTTTTTATATTCACCAATAATTTCCAGTCTTTATAAAAATTCATTAAAAAAGTGCCTGAAGACTGGATTGCAAAAACAGAGGTAGATTTTAACAATGCTAGGGATTAATAATCAAAACTTATTAATTAGAAATTTTTGGCAATAGTTTTCAGAAGTCAGAAGTTTGTTAAAAAATAATGGATGGCTTACTGTATAAAGTAGAAACATTTCTGAAGGCGGCAGGCAGTGACGATCTGGATTCCGTTGCCGTGGATTTAGCTCATGGATTATCAGCTGATGTGATGGATGATGATCATGTTACGGCATTGCAGATAGCCTCAGCACAAGGCAATTTAACGATGGTTCGTTAATCTTAAAGGTTAAATTTCAGAGAAAATAGTAATTTATGTATCTTATCACAATTAGAACTACTGAATGTCATTTCATTGTGAACTTTATTTAACCTGATCAGATTCACTGAACTGAACAAAGCGTTTTTTGTTTATGACTACAAATTTGAAAACATTCCGTGTTTAGGCGAAAATTATTCAAATGACAGGTTAAATTATTAATGAAATATCAGCATAATAATAATAAAGATAATAACACGTAATACAGATTCACAGACTGAACTTGTCTGTGGTTTTTATAGTTACCATTGTGTCAGGATTATTACTATTAATACCTAGTTACTGTATTAATTAAACTACGATACCTGCTAAAAGCATTTTCCAATTTTTTTACAAGCCATTTATACAACTTTCTTGTTATCCACCATTTCTTTATTTGTTTATTGAAGTAATTTGAATAAAAATTTGCTTCTTTTCCGACTGATCAAAGTGTCTCAGTTTGCAGATGGAAATTTTGCTGAAAGCTGGGGCGTCGGTTGATAACTGCAATCACTGCGGATTTACACCTTTACTTCATGCTGCTCGAAATGGAAAAGCTCAGGCAGTTGAACTACTTATCAATCATGGTGCCGACACTTTGAGAACCACGTACGGTTCAAATGCAATCTTTTCATCTCTGTTTTGATTTATGTAAAAAGCATTTACATTGAAAAATCGTGTAAAAGTATTCTTTAATTCGTCGCAAGCAATTTGAGAAATCAAATTCTTAGAAAAAGCTTATTTGGAAGACAACTTATTGAGTGTACTTTTCTTAGATTTTATGGTACATCAGCTTTATCCTTAGCTTCTGCTGGAGGACATCTTGATACTATAATAATTTTACGTGAATATCAAAATCAAACACGTCGACATGCACCAACTCCGTTAATCGCTGCAATCGCCAGAAATCAGTATGAAACTGTTATTTATCTCGAATTTTTCGGGTTGGTTATAACATTTACATTTAGCTTGCGCAATTAATTATTATAAATTTTTAAATTATTGAAAAATATTTCATTTATCAGTTGTTTAGCATAGGTTGCTACTTGGGATTAATTTTTATTTGCATAGATTTTTGATTTAAATCCTACATAACTGCTTTTTTCATAATGTAACTTCATTCTTATCTCCAGTTATTCTCAGTGAGATTCCAAAATTACAGCATGATTCAACATCCGTGTCGTGACATGTTTTATGAGATAGACGCATTCAGTGTAGCAAAATCATTAATGGATTTGAAGATGATGACGTTGCTACGAGATCTAAGATTGCAACCACAAAATCAAATGTTGATAGGCTCGCTTGCTGAGGAAGAATTGCGTGAATATTTTTTCTTCCTTATAAATATCCATAATTATTAATCTATTGTATACAAAATTGAAATTTCATTTTTGGTTTATTGATATTTCATTTTTTCAGCTATTAAACACTTCTTAAACGACATCAATTACTTAAATTTCAAACAGTTTTGCGGTCAGAATAGTTAAAGTATTTTCATGCAAAAAATTTAGTAAATGAAGTACCATGTAAAACACCGGATATTCGATGTCTCATACGTGGTCGTTGTTTATCACTTCTTGACTGGATTCTGAATTTGAATAATTATAAAGAATTGCCTGAAGGTACTACTCCATTAATGTATGCTTCAGTGGTCGGTGACGTTTCTATGGCAAGTTTAAAATTTCTCCAAATTTTCTAAATAATAGATTGACGATGTTTCTACATAAAATTAGAATTCGCTTAAAATTTTGAAGTTCAGGTGCAACTGATATTGCGATATACATGTGACATAAATGCAACTTGCTGTGGCTTCACAGCGCTAATGATTGCTCTCGTCAGCGGGTAAATTCCTACTTCACTTCTTTTCTTTTTTCTCATTTTGAATTCAACCTTAGATGTTTATATTTAATGTTATTTTCTTTATCAAAACTAATTTACAGTAACGACTTGTTATCACAATATCTGATAAGGAAGGGTGCCAGTCAAAGTACGAATGGTTACGATTTTACACTACTTGATTTGGCATCAAATTCAGGCAAGTCTGTACTAATTCAATGCCATTAGTTCTGAAATAAGCAAGAATTCTTTTCAAATCATTTGCAGACAAGTTATTATTATTATTTTTAACAGTACTGATTTTAGACGGTATTTCACCAGCAACTATTCAGTTGATATTGACTGGAGAAATGCCTCAGTTGTGTCTAACTAGAAAGATATCGGCTTTATTAGGTAGCATTTTTCGATGGATCGGGAAGAGCAATGTATGAAACTTTAGACATTCAAGTTTGAAACCAATTTAATGCTTGCATATTTGTTTGCTAACTGTGTAATTCTGAAAATTGATGTTGCTAATAACTTTTTATTAGTAATACTCATAAAAGGTAATAGTTTAGAGTTTATCGCTGGAATAAATTATTTTTACTTAATTGGTTCCAATCCATAAATTGTTTATTTAAAGAAGTTAGAATTAATAATGTTGCGGTTTTTGCAGCGAATTTCACATCAACAAGTGAAATTAACAGAAAATGGTCAGCAGCCAAGTTTTGTTCAGAAAGTCGAGCAGAATATGGGAGTAAAATCGAGTTGGGTACCTCAAAAACTTATTGATGCCTTGGCTTGGCCCGAATACTTTAGTACTTCTTTTCCAGCAAATTTTCCAATTAATAATCACAAATCTACGCCGAAACGATTAGTGGTTTGTGTCTAAGTTTGCTTAATATCAATTTGATTTGAAGCACTGGACACTGAAAATGAACTTGAACTGAAAGAAAAATGAAAAAGAAAAAAAATTACAGGGAAAGTTTTTCACATAAAATTCTTGTACCAGAATATACCGTATGAATCTATGAATTAAACTGATAAATAACCTTATGCTTTTATGCTCTGAACAGTGAGAGAGCTTGAGAAAGTATAAATTGAGATGTACTAAAATTACAATTCAAAATGCCCTGAAATTTCCTTGACAAAATTGTCTAGATGCTAATGTCAACATACTTATAGGAAGAAACAATTATGGTTAGTGCTCGAAATCAGGAGTTTAAGTTTTTTTTGAATAATCATCACAGATTGCAAAAATCTAAACTGGTAGAAAAATTTTTTTGTTTTTACTGTATATCTTATAACTGTATATTGTTTGAAATTTTCCCTAAAAATCTGCAATTATTTCAGAACGTTGATCCAAATCAATCATCAGACGTTGAAGTAGCGCGAGTATACAGCGATTGCTTCCAAGAGCACGGTAGTAGCATTTCAAAACTTCGATCCGCACTCTTCCACTTTGGTAATGGACCACCGAAAAAGTATTGAAACTATATCATTTCAAATTTGTATATACTTTATGTATACAATGCAAGCTTGAAGCTCAATACAAGCATAATGTTCTTCAGCATTAGTGATTCATCAGTATGTTCATCAGATTGTGCTGAATCAGTAGGAATAATTTCAACAACAAACACTTTGCAAGAAACTGATGTTCCTCTTATTGAAAACCTTGACGAACTCTGCTCGGCCTATGCATATGAAGGTAGTTAAGTCTAGTTCTAAGTATAATGATAACGAGCAATTTCCCTTCAAGCTCATTTTTTATAGTTCTGTTCATTTTTGTTTTCACATAAATAAAACTAGAAATTAGAAAAATGTACGCTTATTTCGGATGGAGCTCTTTTTTTCACTGAAAAGTTAAATAAAAAAGCATATTAAATGTTTGCTTCTCAAAATAGTGGTACCAGTAATTACGTGTTTGCCTTGCAAACTGCAAATTATTACCAACATAAACGGATTTATTACACTGTAAACACTCGCTATATCACAAAAAGTGTCTTATTACACTGCTAATAACTCCGTCGTCCATAATGCTCAGATTACTCAAGTTTTGTAAAAAGCTGAAGGATAGCATTTTTTTTTTGCTTGATTAGCTATCTAAATTTTTCTCTATTTGATTGCAAATAAAATTTCTTTGTTGAGAAAAGTACTGGAATTTGCTGAGCAGGCGATGCTCGCCAGCTGTGTGTCTGAAGCTGCAACAACAAGAAGTGGATTATGAGACTTTTCTGATGCTTACAAAAGCAGAATTCATCTCATTTGGCATTAACCGATCCGACGCTAACATTCTTGGCAATTTACAAAAGAAGCTGAGAGAAGAATTGGGTATTACTGCAGCGTAAAATATTTGCATCACAATGTAATATACTGAGATGCTCACACTAATCAACGGTGCTGTACTGGTATCTATACCGCTTTCCATCTACGTAACTACATATCTTCCTTCTCCTGTTGAATGTAATTTTCCGCAAAACCGCTTCTCTTGACTTTTTCTCTTCTTTACTTGTTCTGTTTTATGTTAATACTTTACTGTATATCTGTACCGTAATACAGTCATTAGTTAAATATTTTTAACACTATATTCTTGCAGCTTTGCAAGATATGCAAATCGTGAACGCACCTTGCAATTAATTAAATGAATGTTTTCTTGTTGTTCTACAGTTTTATTTCTCATTCAGAATTCCTGTGGAAGGGAGTACTTTAGCTATCGTTCTAATTAACTGACAGGAAAAAGCTAGCCATCTAAAGAACAAATATGCTAGAAAGTTCACGAAGTATGATGATATGTCAGTTAGTTTCTGCTTGAAAGTTTTTAGTAATGTGGTGGAACGTCAGAGAGGGATAACATACGTTATATCTTTCAAGTAGCATTCTGCGTGCAATTCAGTGTGGAAATAACATCGAATTGTAATGTTGAAAATGCGCAATAAGCATTTACTGCTTCACAACAACAATTTTACAGACTTTTTTTGCAAACAGCAATATACTTTTACTCATAAATGTCATAATTCGCTTTACATTCACAACAAATAGCAAAAGAAATGATGTAATTCCTAAAGACTTTTCATTACGTTGAATTCAGACCACATGTGTGGTCGCAAACATAAAGATGTCAACCGCAGAATCACACCATTAGTCAGTGAAATTATTTTGCTACCAAGGCAGATCGTAGTGGCAGCAAATTGAAAGATATGAAAGTAACGAAAGTATGCTTTACACTTCCTCTGGAATGAGTCCAGGAAACAATAATCAAAAAATACACTTGCTTATGATTGACGTGTACTTCTAGCAATGTCCAATTTTTCAAGTCACACTCATGGCGATTTTTTCTTCAAGTACACGTAACTGAATGAATGTTTTTTTTTCGTTCTACAGTTTTACTTCTCATTTCCTTTTTCCTATATTCTATATTTTTTTTGCTATTATCATCTCTGATAATTTTGAAAAAAATGATTGGTATATAACATTTATTCAAAAAATTTTGACTCAAATAAAAATTTATAAAGTGTTCAAAGTAAAAATAGTAATAATGCATTTGACCCCGACCTGCAGTGGTGTCCGAGTGGTTAAGGAGTTTGACTCGAAATCAAATGGGCTCTGCCCGCGCAGGTTCGAATCCTGCCCGCTGCGCACGTTTTGACTTTACTGGTTTGTTGTCTTATCTTCTATTTCATACGTTCGCAATATTCTTCTATCGTGATTGACTTCTATTACATCCGTTAATGCAATACACTAAGTAAACTTCACTACAATTAATAATGCTTAATGATTCAGCAAGTCTTTCATGAGCATTTTATCAATCTTGACATTACTCTTTCAAACTTTGAAAAAAAAGTAACGTAAGTAATTATCAAGAAATTTATATGAAATACAAAAATACAATGAGTTTTAAAAGTCAGTAACTAGTCACGTTCAAGTATTTCGAATTTTGTGTGATATCAACGTTTTCTGAGTTCCAATTTTACTTGCTTAGAGTTAAATTGACATTTTATAAACATTAATTGACATGTGACTTCTGCTTACATTTTCCGTTTAAGTACAACCTATCAAGCTTCCTCCATGTCTTATTACAGAAGTGAAACATTTACGGGAGTACTTGATCGATATAAGTGCCTATTTTAACACTTGATGAAAACTTACTCTACATTACTCACATGCGTAATATTTAAGAACTGTGAAGCTCGTTCGCATTACAAGAACAAATATTAAATAAACAACAACAATCTACTTTACGACAAACAACAAGTAAAATTATAAGAATGAAAAATAATGATGCTACAAATAATACAGTGAGGATCATAATACAAAATTCTTTCTTGGTACTTTCAGATAAATTCTGTTTCTGCTTTTTCGACCCATCTTCAAGTGCTCCTAGATTAGAAGCAAATAACCATCTGCATTTTGAAAATATAATTACGTTTTACTGCGGAACAGCCGATAGAAGTGCTGTAGAAAGAGAGAATCTTTTTTTAATCAAATGGACCGCAAGGCTGGGAATTAAAAGTTGCATTATGAACGCACAGCTGGCTTACCTGCAACACCTGGATCTACCGATGCCTGCACAACTTTGAAATTAGGTGTGTATCCGTGCTGTAAATGGCCGTCTGCTGCTGGCGTGTCCGCCCATAAGTAATTGCCCGGATCACTCCCTGACTGTAAAAAATGATTACCCCAACGAAAGTAAGAACAAGGCCTCACGCTGAAATTGATTCAAATGTCAAGTTGAAACTAAAAATTGAGAGGATTAATGTAATAATACAGACAAAACTATTTAAAATCGACTCTCAAATGAACTGAAACATTTACGGGAGTACTCGATCGATATAAGTGCCTATTTTAACACTAACTGATGATTTCCGCTTTCTTCGTTGAAAATTTTTATGTCCATTTATTTGAAGCGGTGCTATCCACTTTTTGCTTCTAATACGTGACCGTCTCGGTACAGAATATATATGCTGCCTTTGCACGTCACTTTCACCTAAATCAGTTTTGGAAGTATATATTGTGAAATAAAATTTTGGTTTTTAAGTTAAATTATTTTGCAAATTTTTGTGCAACTAAAAAGAAACAGTTCTCGAAAATTGCTAAGAATTTTTTGCCATTGTGACCGTAAGGATTTATCTGTGCAATCCTGTTTGAGTATGAATCAGGCACAGTATTCCGCTCGTTTTGTGCTCGGTTTCTTTTCATACGTCCAGTACTAGTAGCAACTGGCGAAAGATTTTCTGATAAGAATCGGCATTCATGCGGTGAAACTAGAATAAGTTAACTTTATAAATATCATTTAGCAAAACATTTGCCTGTTTGAGCTACATATCTCTAGCATTTGCATTTTTTGCATGGATAAAGTCATTGTTTGCCATTAAACTGGGAAGCATTAGGAATAGCAAAAATTAAAACGAATACTAATTATTGCTTTCATTAGTCAAATTTAAGCAAAACTCGGAAATTCTTTAAATTTAGGTATCCTTAATTCAAATTAAGATTATTAGTTTCAGAAAAAGTTTTTACGTCTATGAAAATATATTCAGAAATTACTCTCAGTTCCTGAAAATTGGTTAGATACTGTTCCACGAGTAGCAGGTTTTTTTACATTTGTTTCGGACGTCTGTGCGTCAGTTGATCCAGCTTGCAGCAAGTGTGGCATAGGCTTTTGCCCTAAAAAGGCTTTTTAATCTCCTAATTAAAGCATAAAAACTGATCATGAACACATAAGGAAAAATTTCAGTCTAGAAAGTATAAAGTGATTTACTTGCAGCTTTTAGCGCTGGACTGAAGTGAGCAGACATCACTTCATTAAAAGTATGAATTGGATCAGTTGTGACTGAATCAGGCTCCTTCGAAACAGATTTTCCAGCTTGTGTTTGGTCAAGCTGACGATCCGTTTCTTCAACAAGATCATCAGTTAAGAGCTTTAGATTGCAGCAATTGTTGAAAAGAAAAATTGGGAAAAGTTAGTGTTAAGAAGTTGACATATTAGATACAACGATCTGACCAAACACAAGCTGGAGATGACATATTAGATACAACGATCTATGCATAATAATTAATATTAAGTTTGCTTGTGAAAAAATGAACTAGAAAAGATTTGTCTACATATTTCACGAACTCTACGAGACTTCAATGAGGCTTATGCCTATAAAACAAAATCTTATACTTTCACAAGCATAAGCTTTATATGATTTTGCATATTAAAAAGCACAAGCAATATTCATACGTTCACTTTCTGACACCATTTCTTTTGTACGACAACATTTAAGCAAAAGCGAAAAGCATATGAAAAAAGCAAATACTATTAAAATCAATTCATTCACTCCAACAACGCTGAAACCGTCTACTGTATGATTTTAATCCAGAAATTTCAATCAAAATTGAATCTTTTTTAACTCAAGACAAATTAGGCACTTCTCTTGTTCACATTGACATGAACCATGCGTTTCTCTCGATTTTGTAGCTTTTGTGATCGTGCATCGTCTGAATTCTTCTGATCATTCACCTCTAAATCACTTTCTATTCATTAACACTACGATGTATTTTTGGCAACAAATTCAAATACTTCAGTAGTAGTAACATGAACAGCAACAGAAGTAGAGAAGAAATGATACCTGCAGGTAAATTTCCTTGATGTATGTCACTTTCTTCTTCCATACTTGATGAAACTGAACTGGTGCCAGAATACTCTAACGACTGAACTTCTTAATCACCATTTCAACTTGTCAATAAATCACTGAAATATTTCTTGATTAGACCATAAACAACAGTCCATACAGCCGTACAGTTCCCTTCATACAAGTAAGAAGTGAAGAGATGAATTTTGAACTGCAGTCTAATTTTAAAGCGGATAATTTACATATAACACTGAAAAATAAATTTGAGCATAATTAAAGACTTTTAGAAGGCCACTTGAGAGTCAGACTTGCTACTCAAAAAGTTATTTTAAACTGTTCATAGCATTTCCAGTGAAGCCTCATTCGATAAATTTTATGTAGATGATGCAGTAGCTGGGACTGTTCAAATGAATTATGTTGAAATTAATGATTTATGGCATAAAATACTGATACGATTCGAGATCATGTCCATACTTTTACTACTGGTTGATAATACACTTACTAATGTGCCACAAAACACTACGATTTCAAACATTTCCGCGAGTCTAGTGACTTGCGCAAGAAATCGCAAAGCAGTTTCTCACTTCTTGAACTTTATAACTCAACAAAAAAGTTCAACTTTCTATCCATGCTCCTTCAAGAACCACCAGTTCTAAAATTTCTATACAGCTAGAATCAAAATCAACTAAACAGCTAAAGGTCCTCGAAAATACTTTTGTATAATCTAACAAGTTCCATATATTACGAGTAGTGGACAAAACCCATCTAAATATCTGATATTGAATTTTTGAGGTGACTAGAGATCAATTCTTATTAATTCTCATTTCAACTCCATTTGATGTATCAAATATAACGTTTGTCATTATTTATCATTCGAAACAGAAAATTCTTTTCACAACAAAGTCCATCAATATTGTGACAACATGAAACAAATATTATAACAAACTTCATCAAAGAATTTACAATCGAAATAAAATCACTTTCAATTAGAAGTCAAAGAAACAATGGTCGCTGTCTTCTTGCTTGTTGCCTTCCTTTTTAGAACTTAAACTAACGAAATTGAATTCGAAATCTTCATTAGGTTGAGACATTGCATTATTTACGCCATCAAAAAGTGTCATGTAGTCATTAGGACCAGAGCCATTTTCTGACTGATCTTGAAAAAACCAACTTACCATATAAAGATCTTGAAACAGATAAAACACAAGTACTTTTTACTACAAACTCAAATAATAATAATTACATCTTGAGTAATAACAATAGATCTTGAGTAATAATAATTAGATGTTGAGTCCCTGCGACCAAAATATGATTTACTTTAAAGTTCCTCCGTGAATAGAATCACTGACTTACTGATTTCAAATTTAGTACACAGACTCAAGCTAAGCTTAGCTACAGTGATGAAATATCTTTACACAGGGTTTAATAAAAAACTACTAAAATATTATAAAATAAAATTAATAACTGCCGCTCACTATTCATTATAGAAGAGAGGTTAAATATTGTTGATGCATCAAAATCTGTCTCCGCACCAAAATATGTATTAGATAGATTCACTGATCCGTCTGGATTAAAATTGGTCAACTATAACATGTACATATATATATATATATATTTCGGCAAAAGATAAATTAAATTAAATTATAGAGAAGTGAAGTATTATAAATTTCGTAAGATTTTCAGATGTTAAAAAGATATAAACTAACCTGTGTAAAGAAATTAGTGGGATCAAGATCAGTTGATGAAATTTTCCTTGGTTCTAAAGTGTCAGTTGGAAACTTATCACTTGCCGGAGGCGATTCACATTTTGCTTTAATACATAATATATTTTTCATAATTCATAATGTGAAATGTCATTATATATTTCGGATTGACAAAAGACAGACAAATCCGCTGATATGTTCCATTAGCTTAGAGTATAAGTCTGATTTAATACGCTTTATATTATTACCATGAAAGAAAATATATCAAGTTTTTATTCACCAACCCTTATCTTCATGGATAAGATTTTCGCCTTCGCTATCCCCCAATATTTCCACTCCCTCGGGATGATCCATAAAATTGTTGACAAAAACATTTTCATTTCCAGTTTCCTGCAAATTATGATGTGAAAAGCGAATAATTAATCAGACATAGCTCTCAACTTCAAAAATACAGAACAAACAATCAGAACAATAAGGTTTTCAAAATATTTTAAAATTCTTGCACCAAACCTTATCTGATATTTGGGATGAGTCGACATTCAAATCATCTAGAAAACGGTTATTTTCACCGGTATCCATCATTTCTTCATTCGATACAACATCGTTGTTCATATTGTCGTTAATATGATGTACTTCACTGCTTTCGGATTCATTTATTGTCACTTCTATTGTTTTCTCAACCTGTTACACAGAAACATTACTAAAGTATAATGTAATTTCAATAAATTTTTTAAAGGTTTCTGAGGCTATCAAATTTTTGAGAACTAATTTCACAGTATTAGTCGTTCAGCACTTAATTTATAGAAACTGGACAAACCTCATCTATGACGACAAGTTTGAAATCTTTCTCAATATGACCATTTTCTGAACTTGATATGACAATATCCATTGTATCTTGTCCAGTTTCATTCCCGTCTCCTTGACGATTTTTGTCTTCAGTCTAAAATCAGCTAGATTGTAGTAATTTTAAAAAAGTTTACTAAACAACGGAATTAAAAAATGAATAAACACTTGAATATTAGATAAAGGAGTTTCTTCATCAGCTTTTTTCTCCTGGATGAAATCAAACATTCGTGTTCCACTACGTTCATTCGCATCAGCATTCCCATTAGAAAATAGCGGTTCCTTAACTTTTTCCTAGAAACAACAAGATTCCATTATACCAAATCATTTTATATATTCTATTAGCATATTGGGAATTCATTAGGTTTAATGATATTTATTGCGTTTGATAGGAAATCAAATTGTCATTACCAGAAAATAAATTAGCAAAATAATAAATTAAGATGAAGAACAATTTCAGCAGGTAAAGTGAAAAAATGCAAAAAATTTCTTAAATGAGCTACAGTTATAGTATTTAGAGAATTGCTTTTCTAAAGATTATGAATTAACTTCGAATTGTTCAACTTGACTTTCTCGTGGACTATTTTGTGAAAATAATGAAATATCCAGCGTCCCATGATTTAATTCTTGTGAGAGCTGAAAACCATCCCAGTTGTGAGAACATTATTAGATCATATAATAAATTTCAGAGTACTGTTACTGTAACGCTGATCTCGTTATTAATGCACACCATAAGTGTAGCTAGATATTAATGCATTACGTTGATTTGAAAATTGCTCAAATTATTGTAAAAAACGACAGTATTATGGGCACTTTACTAATAAGCGAATTGTAATATCTAATTTAAAAAATGTAAGATGTTTATACAAGTTTACTAGTTAACAAAGGTAAGAACTTTGAACAAGACTGTACAAAAATAATAACATGAAGGCTAAGTTAGCGGTAGAAAATTTGTTTCGTAAAAAGGAAAAGACCATCTTAATTCACCTTTGCAATTTTCAAGTATTCCTGCGCCAATTTTTTCATTATACTCTGATTTTTTAGGGCCAATGTAGCAATGGCTATACAGAAGTTTTTCATTGGTAACTGGCCACTTCCATTCACTATAAATTCAAGTAATATAAGGAAGACAGAGATATGAAAGAATTCTATAATAAGCATGAAATTTAATTTTTTCAAATATATACGGTAACTATTTTCGTAAATAAGTGTGTCAGAAAAAATTTTAAATAGACAAATATGTTTGATCAATTATTATTTAATTCCCAGTACTTTATAAAACAAACGTATTTTAAAATGAAATCAGACTACTCAATGATTTTGATTTATATTAGGTACAAGTGGAAGACAAACGAATAGCTTCTTTATCGCTGATTGATTGCACAAGCTGCTTCTTTTTTTCTTGAAATTCCTCAATTTGTTTGCGAAAAGCGACCAATTTGTCGCTCATCTGCAATACTGCTTTGCTCTTCATTAAATATTTGTCCTGAAATGCCAGAAATTTTGCATCGAGGACAAAACAAAACAACCTCGCGGTGCTTTGTAACCCATGGAGCATTGAGTAATTTGTGTTGAACATCTTTCAAACGCTTCACAATTAGTTGCTGTTCAGTTTTTCCGGTCACTTTAGCTCCCTCCAACTGCAAATATGTAACGATTATTTGATGCAAGTAAAGAAAGATATGCCCAAGAAACACGACCAAACTGTAATTAACATACGATTTCTTTCAGTCGCTCAATCTCTTCATCTGCTTCTTCTTGTCGCATCTGTTCCAGTAAAATTTGCTGGCGTATACTAAAATGAAAAATGAACTAAATTCAATGTATATTGAAGACGAAAACTGAATAACTAAATGATAAAAAATCTTTTGATTCCCATTAAGATGTTAAGTTTTCATAGTAAAAAACTTCTTACAAAAGATAAGATGATTAGGAAATAGTGAATATTCAGGATATTTGTTGAATCCGAATATTTGCTTGCTAGCATCAGAATTTTTAAAACGCAGTTAAAAGTATCATGCTACAGCTAAAAACGTTTAACAGCCTTTGAAAACAGTAATGAATAACATACTTCTCAACCTTTTCGCGCTGTAACTGAGTACGATCGCGATAAAATTTAATCTCTTGTTCTTTCTTGGCAATTTCCAAATTCCCTCTTTCCAGAATTAATTTCATTTCACTTTTCTCTCTCTCCGATTCTGTTATAATAATTTATTCAGAAAATTGATAAAACAAAATTTGTAATGTTTATAAATTCAAATAATATTTTTAATTCCACAATTTAATCATGAAGTAATGAAATTAAAGCCTTTGATTTGGTACTGATGAATTTTCACGGCTTCCTGTATTTTCTCTTTGCTCATGTCTGGAAAGAAATAAAATTGTAAGCTTTACTCGATGAAGTTTGGAATGACTTAAAAAATGACATTACATCATAATCGCTATTAACTATGATGTAAGTGAAGAAAATAACTGATGTACGATATTTTTTGTGCGTTAAATTAATTTACTTTTTATCTACGTGAAATCAGCGAAAAATAAAACTGGTTAAGTAAATAACTTACTTAAATCACGCAACTCTTTACGGAGAAACTCCACTTCAAATCCTTTACATTCCTCATGCATTTCCATCATTACAGTCGGCGACAAAATGTCTCAGTTATTGTGAAAGACTGACAAGCTATTTCGCAACAACTATCTAAAAGTTCTTTATAGCCGATATTTCGTCAGACCCATTTTTGAATTAAGCATAAAAAATGGCGCAGTGGGATTACTATGTGTGTAGAATCCCTGCCAATCAGAACTCACATAAACATCACGTTTGAGCAAGAGAAAAAGAAAGAAGGGCACAACTGTACACAATCGAGATCTATACTGCAAATGGAAAAAAAATTAATGAAGCTTACAGCTCAGACATCGAGACATGCACATGATTTGGCGCGTAGAAAAGTCGCTCGTAATGCTGCTTGTCCGAGTTCTGCACACGCCATGAATGATTTATCTACCCAACAATCTTGACAGAATCATACCTTTGAGAATATACATGCTTCAACTGCATGTACATATGAACATTCTTCCATCAAATTGGCGTAATAGCCTCCGAACGTCCTCACACGAAGGTTAGCCTATTTTTATTTCAAATCTTATTAAGTAAGAATAGCTTATCATATCTTTCACTATTCTCATAAGCACATCTGTGCACTTCCCTGGTATCAGCCACAACATATATTTATTTATACTTCAACATACGCGAAGAACTGTAGGTCATGCATTATTATGGGGTCAATAATTTGACTGAGACCAATTCATTTTTAATTCATCTTCATAGGATCTGTAGAGGAAAATAGCAGTTGTTCTTTTCTGTGAGAGTAAAGCATTCTCATGCATCATATGCTTCTTTTATGAGTAGTTATGCGTGCAGTTATTCAAAGACCGTTCTCATGCTTATTGCTTAGATTATTTTGCTTCGAAAAAATTCATCGCAATATAAGATAGCTGCAAATATCAGCACTCTTGCAGAATATCTACTTGTCTGAAACTAAGAGACTCGCAAATGGACCTGCTACTCGTTGACGAATATAATGTGCGTTTATATTACCCATTTCATAAACATTCCAGCAATTCGTTCAGCGTCAAATTCGTATTTATTAAATACTTAATATAGAAAGCAAAGTAGATGATGTGTTATTGTCAGTGATTACAAATAGTTCCCAATGCATATCTGTAACTAACTTTCACAATCCCTGACAGGAGAAATGCTGGTGAACTGCGGAACGACAAAATGATCATTTATATACGATATCAAAGGTCATAAGTAAAAACAAACAAGCACACAAACATGAATATATAATGAAATACCATTTATTAATAGTAATAATACAATATCACAATAATAGTACACAAAAATGATGATGAGAATAATATGTAATACTTGTATTTCAAACATAGAAATAATAGCAGAGAGTCAATTCATTTTTTTCCATCAAATTTAAATATTTTGGATTTTATTTCAACGAACAATCATCACAGTAGTGAAATGGCAGAATTGAGAAGTGTAGCACGCGTTATGATCTTTCTGTCATCTTCTCATATACATACATCTGTTTAATAGACAAAATATAGATAAAAGTCAAGATATTACTAATAGAAAGAGGTAAATCTGATGCTTAATTGAAAAAACACACTCGAATAGGCAATTAATTAAAAAGTGCTGCTAATAAGGAAAGAGGAAAAATAAAGTATGCACTGGCACTACTTTTTGCACATATCGTGCTTTCATGTCGCACACACCGTGCATCAATCATTATTCAGATGTGAAAAATATTTTGCCACGAAAAAAAATCATAACATAAAACATAAATAGTTAAAGATGGGTTAATCTTCTCACATTAACTGCTGCTATGCTTTCCTTACTCTCACAAAAAACATTCATCTTCTGCAGTTGAAGTAGAAGGAAAATAAACAAGAAATTAGCTCAGTTCATCAAGTCTTTGTGTAATAGTTTAGAAGATTTTTGAAAGCATATTAGCAAATTCAACATTTTATCTACTAATAAGAGGGCAAAGGTTATAAGATGAAAGAAAGATCAGTAAAATTAGGAAGTAGCATGCAGAGATTGTTACAGTTCACATATCATTACCATTCACTGATCACGATCAAAATGCAAGTCAATTAAATCATAATTCAAAATTCAACAAACAACACTGCTTGGTTATCTGTTGAATGATTGATTATACATACCCGCCTTCAATTAAAAATACACGATTTCAAATAAAGTAACGAAAATGACTAAATTATTCAGTAAATATAAAGTTTGCATTACCACTCGCAATTTGCACATACAAACTTACAATTAAACTCATAAAGTGTTTTTGTGCTCGAATCAGTCAAAGCACACAACTGTTTTTTCTCATAACGCCATTTATTATCAGAGATTATTTGCTTTGTTTGTAGGAAAAAAAGTTTTGCACAAAAATATTACAGCAGTGTATGAATGATCAATTTTTTTGTTCACTGCAAAAAGTATTAGCTAGCAAGAAAATTAATCAAAAATAAAATCAGCATATAATATTATTTGGATTAAATTGCCAAATGATAATAATAATGATAATAACGATAATAGTAATAATAATAATAATAATAAAATTGATAAATACCAAGAACAAGATTATTATCAATGACTTATCTGAAAGTACAAAATAAACATTACCAAAGACCAGTTTAAACACGAAAGAATGACACTAAATGTAAGCATCTTTGAATTCAGTCTTACTAACTTACTATTTATCACTAAAAGATGACTAAAAAACGACAAAACTTGTGACATTACTATATAAGTGATCCAAAGTATTCGTAAAGTAATTAATAAAATCATTCACTGCTCAGAAGAAAATAGCGTAGAAAACGGATGCGACAAAAATGCGTCGAAGGCCTATTTTCTCACTACTGATTCATTAGATCACAAAACTTATCCATTATAATATCAGCTAGACTAAAACACTTCAGATATTAATTTCAAAGTATAAAGTGATATGCCAGAAATGTTATACGCAAATAATTTAATGTAAAAAGTCTCAAGTCAAGTCAAGTTAAAATTACTAAGTATATCATCAAGGATTACACAAATATATATCGTAAGTAAATACTAAACCTTGCAAAAATTAATTATTAGAAAACTCCAGCTATTGATTTATAAGTCAGTCACCGTGATTTACCATTATGAATCTGGAATACACCAATTTTTACAAATTACAAAATTTTAAGAGAAACCAAATTTCGACAAAAGCAAACGAATAATTAGAACACTGTGATAAATAATTGCTTTTCTAGAATTCTACTTTTTCAACTGCTTTTCGATATATAAAGCAACCACAATCAAGTGATGTTATACTTTTAAGATACCCACCTGAAATTTGCAAGTTCACAATGAAATTGAATTGCAGCAATTAACTAATATTTCATTGATGAATTTTCAATCTTCTAAAATTATCAAACTGATATAGGAATAAGTAATTGCTGCTTCTTGCAGTTAATCAAGCTAGTAATGAAAAGAATGAGGGTAAAAAGTAATGATTAATTATGATGATAACAATGTGATGAGAATAATGATATTAGTAGTTGGTAATGAATAGAGAAGATTTTAAAGAGAAGAATAGGGGCACATTATTGCAAAAACCTGAAAAAGTGTTATTTATTGCTCGGCTTTCATTTCATTATTTACTGCCACATGAAAATTATAGAAAATCAGATGAAATCTGATTGACAAGGAGAAACAGAGTGCTTACTTCAAGAAGTGGTACAGTTCGTTTACGAGACAAAGTTGCAAACAAGTGTACAAATGATTACAACTCACTAATTTATTACTATTGAGAAAAAAATTTGCACAAAATTTTAAAAATGAAAAAATTTAACATTTGGCAATTGCAAATGTTTGCATCAATTACTGCTTAATATATCTGAATGTTATGTATATTGTAATGAATATTATTATAAATACAAGGCTTGATGACGATGATAAGTAACAATGGAAAGAAGCACCTGCACAAAGACAAACTCTCTGAATGAGTATCGTGAAAAAGGTTGAATGATGTTTTGATAAAATCTTGAAATAACCCCAGAAAATCGATAATAATGAATAAAAACAGACAAAAATCAATTAATACCAGGATAATGATGAATTTTGCTCGTCCAAAAAATACTCATAAATGCAAATATATGAAAAAATTATTGTGAAGAAATAAACAAGACGTTGTTTCTATTATTTCATATGTAGAAATAGAAAGATGATAACTTGTTGTTGTGCTGCAGAGAACTGGTGTCAAAGTTCGTAGATCAACAAACCGTTGCTTGTCTCAAACACATTCAGTAGTGAACCTTTTCACACATAATCTATCAGCAAAGTAAGTAGACAGGTGAATCCAGTAGGGAACAAGGAAAAAAAGCAGTTGACGGTACTTCATAATAACATTCTGTGTTTCTGCAAACAAATTTTTTTTCACTTTATTCAGCGAAATTTTATAAAGTCTACAGAAACTTGAAGTTTATTTCCAACTTTATTTCGCTTCAAAGAATCACCCAAAACAGCAAGACTAGTGATTAGTTAAGCAATGAGTAATTAGCCTGCGTGAGTGTTGCACTGATATACAATTTGAACTGATATATTGCAATTTTAGTACGAAATACCTATCAAAATATACTTACCGCAGAAAGTAGTGGTTGAATAAGCTCAGACCTTGTGGAAGGCATGTGGAAGTTGAGGTGTCTGGTGATGGATCGCACTCGGATATATGCCGGCAAATGGTTCGCTTCCGATGGCGTACAGTGCTGCAGCCTCAAATGCAACGGCCTGTTGAGCTGCAGCAGCTTGCGCTGCAGTCACGTTGAATCCACGAGTCACTCCAGCAGCATTAGCTGCCACCGCAGCTGCAGCACCATTTGTAGCGCCACCTGGTGGTGATGTAGGTGCTAGTGGGGCGTACGATTGAAACCCGTTGAAAACTGAAATATGCAAGCAATATTCTTAGCACCTCAACTATATAAAATGCAACGAATGTTTGAAAATTGAAGCTAAATAAATAGCAAAAACCTACTTCCACCATTATAAAACATACTCGTTCCATATGTGCCAAGTCGTGGTAAATAAGAGGCGTAAGCTGAAATCAAACTTTGACCATACCATCAACAATGACAATACACTCATTATTTGTGCAATAAAATTCATTATACTTCAGGACAGATAAGCAACTTTTATTTCAATATTTATCTCTGAGTTTGTAAAAAAACTTAAAATCGAATGAGTACAAAATTACCAAGTAACTGCTCAGGTCCAAGCCCATACAGATTACGAGCGGCAGCTGCTCGACTTTTATTTAGCTGCACAGGTAACATCACCTGCAAATAAATTTGCTTCACCAGAGCTTCAATCTTCCCAAACAAAAGATACTTTTAAATAACGCCAAAACATACTTTCCAATAAAATGGATTAATAATTGAAAAAACCTTATTTTCAGAAAATTTTGTACAAATGATTATGATGGGGTGAATATGAGCATTATTTTTTACTTTTTCTATATTTATGTCAGTAATTATTAGTAACTATAGTGATATTATCAAGTTCCTTTAACTAACATATGTTGCAGCATTAAACGTCAAAATTTGTTTGCAATAGTATAATACAACAAAAATATCACTTTATAACGATTGGCAGTAGTGAATAATTTCGTAGTAACAATACAATACTAATAATTACTGTCAATGCGGACAAATTTTAGAATAATTATTACAAAAGTATTCGAAAAGTAATTTACAATTGACAAAATAAAATACAAAGTGATAGAAGAGTGTACAGTTAAGAACAAAATAGTTATAAGATTTACTTCTTTAGGTTGAGCTTTCTTACATTCCACCATTTTACCATTGATTTCATGGAAGTGAATTTCGCAGACTTTGTCGCTTACGTCATCATTATCAAAAGTTATAAAACCAAATCCTACAACAAGTCTCAGTTTTGAATTTTATTTTATTCACATACATCACGAACAAAGTAATACTGATATTTCGATAAAAGTCACAAATTTATGAATGACAAAAAATAAGTCAGTTGTCTTTGCTAAAATATATGCCATCAAACCTCTAAACTGAGAAAAAAAATAGAAAAGACTGAACCTCGATGGCGCTGGGTGGCTTTATCAAACATCAACATCGCATCTTCAACCTAAAAAATGCATCAGTAAACTTTTTTAGTAGAAACCAAAATATACCAAATATTAATCAGAAAATGATAATGTTGTTAGTTCATTTTCTAACCTAATTTCAAATGTGAATTTGCCAAGATGACAATGGAATTCTCCCGATAATAATGATTCCAGAGTTATTTCGCAAAAACATTTTCATTTACCTTTCCGTACTGTTCGAAATAATTTCTCATATCTTCGAGAGTTGATGTCGCCGATAAGCCACCAATAAATACCTTCTTTGTTTTGATTATCATCTGGAAAAAGTAGAAACCTTTCAAATACAATACTAATTAATTTGCAATATTTTTGAGCTTACCATACATTGTTTCATTTTAAAAGCAACAACTCAGTTTTGTGTTTAATATTATCTTATAAATAAAGTTTCAAACAATTAAAAAAAGTGTAAATGAATGCTGAAAAATCCATAACCGCAATTAAAAGATATTCAGAGAGTACATTAGTGAACATTATTATTAATTAAGATAAATTCTAAATATAGTATATTAACGACGACATAAAAGGCTGCTATGACTTCCTAATGACTAAACATGTGTAAAAAGTAGACGTCAAGTATGATGTACAAGACTTTGATTAAAAAATAAGTTAAAGATTACGCTTTAAAATTACGCGCATAAACTGGAGAAAAGATAATGTAAGTCAGAAAAATTATGTTAAATACGAATTTTAACGTCGAATAAAAAGTCTAAATTTTGGCAAAATAAAACAAAGTGAATTATTTTTTCAAGGAAATTTCAGAATTTTTGTTCAGCAAAAGCAGAAAGTTAGCTATGCTTTGATGAAGAAGAAAGTGAAAGTAAATACACCAAAATGAAAACTAACTTAGAATACTTGGCATTGGTAACTTTAATCTAAAATGGAGAAAATAATGCTTTAGAGCAGATTATAAGCTTTGGTGATCAATCAAAAGCACAAATACTTGAAGAAGGCTTTGCTCCACTTGAAATCATCTTCAAAAATCTTTATCATTTTAATCCTTTAATCCTACGATAGTTTATTTTCCTTCACATTTTCTCGAAAAGCTTCAAGCACACATTTTGCTTCAATCACACTCATTTTCCTTATTTGCTTTCTTAAAATAAAAAGCTTTTATTGTCAAAGCACAACTTCCCTTCCATTATTTTTTCAAGTTTTATCTCATCACAACGAATATCCCTTGCATTCTTCCACTTTTACATCATTCTGTCATTTTGCTTTATTACTGCTTTCTCCTTACTATTTGTTATTATCATTTACTGTTGTTATCGTTTTAAAAATGCCAGAATTGCCCATTTTAGAGATTATTTTTATAGTTAGACAATTATTTAAAAAGGCTACGTAATCATGAGAACAATTATTTGACAATCAAAAACTGAACTATGCAACTGCATTAAATTCAGAATAAAACTGAATTAGGCCTGGAATTCAACGATCACACTAATGTAGTATCTGTTTAGAATTTTTCCTGGTTAATATTTCGAAAAACTAAAGATTTTAGTAGTCTTGATGGGATAAAATTATACACATACTGAATATTTGCTGCGCTGATAGAAATTGTACAGAGGAAACAAAAACAGTAAGTGTGGGGTAAAGATAGAGATTACAGCAAGAGAATGATAAGATATATTCATAATTAAACAAAAATATGCAATAATTGACAGAAAAAAGTGTGATGGAAAAATTCTCAGAAAGTTATCAAAATAAACAGAAAAATCTTAACTTTTTAAAAGCATGACTAGGTCATTTTTTCAGTCTATAAATCTTGGCTTAAGCAAAAAAAATGTGGGCAATTTCTTTCTTTTTTCTATAATAATAACTTCTCTTTCTACTAAGCATTTGAATATAAGTAAAGTTTCGTGTAAATTAAAGAAGTGTCTATGCCTGGAAACAAGCAGAAAAACAAAATTATTGCTACATAAACTTGAAGAAACTGTAATTTGCTCAAATGCAATAATTTACGAAAATCAAAACAAAACAAGCAACAACTTACTTTAGGTTGTGCTTTCTTAGGAAAAGCAACTTTTGGATCGATCTAAAAAAGTTCAAAATTTACAATAAAATGATTTGTATTTATTATTTTAGCAACACTAATTTATATTTAGAGATAATGATGAACGACTTACGATTTGATAAGAAAACCACTCTATCATTTTTCATTTCTAGTCTTAACCAAGCAATAGAAATAGATCACACTCTTTTTTCTACTAGTTTGGTCTTTCAATTTCGATAATTTTTTAAGCTTATAACAAAAAATAATTGTCGAAGACACTAATGATGAAGAAGAAGAAATCGTTTCTTCACATTTAGTGTTGTTGATACCGATTATCAACATTCCTAAAGTCAATTCAAATCTTCCCGTTCTTCACTTTAGCAAATGTTTTAAGAATGATTCAAAACAAATATGAAAATACCTTTTTCCCGTCAAGCTCGTGCTGCTCTTCAGCTAATACTTTATCAACACTAGCCGGATCGGCGAACGTAATAAACCCAAAACCCCTAAATTAGGAATAGTATCAATAACTTAGAATAAATAACACTTAAAGAATATAACTAATAAAATTGTGTAAACTGTACACAATATGATACATAAAAGTAATAGCACAAAAGCAGACAATTCTGTTTATACTTATAATCACAAATATTCAAATTTTTGCTGAAATGAACAGTTAGTGTTGACTGATTACCGAGCCCTTTTTGTAGCAGGATCCCTCATCACCATGCATTCATTAACTTCACCAAACTTGCCGAAATAGTCTCGCAATCCCTCTGCAAATACTGCACATTACTGATTTTGGTAACATTTTCATAGCTTATTTCAATGAAATTTTAACCGAAATGGTGCAACATCACAATCATTTAAAAGCTAAACTTTCAAACTTTCATATTTATATACAAAATCCAAAACAGCAATTTCATAGAGAAATCAATTTTATACGCCAATTTTTGAAAAGTTTTCAAACAAAATTGATATGTACGTCTTAAAGTTTATTAAATCGTCAAAAATGTATTTATTATAATATTGCATATGTAAATAATTAGCATTCGATTTGGTTCATTGCTGCTAGATATTAAAGCAAGAAAATTTCAAAATTTGTAAATAACAATATTTTATAAGCAATATTTATAGAGTACTTTATAAAATACAGTGCTTTACAGATCAGTCACATTAGTTACTAAATAAACATAACACCTTATTAATAAAAATATTCAATTTCAACTGAATAATAAGAAGCTTTGCAAAGATTCATCATATCCTAATTTTTATTCTCCATTACAAACAGTAGCCCGTTAGGATTAATGCTCAACCAGAAGATAATCAAAGGCTAACAAGAAGATTAATTTTACTTACCGGCTGTTGTTTGCCAGCTCAAACCTCCGATAAACATCTTCCTAGAAATACTGCAAATTTATATTCAAAATTTTTAAAAAATCTTAAAAAGAAGAGCTTTCGAATGGCTATTTGTTGATATGCAAGCTCAGCATCATTTGCATAAGCATCCTAACTACATTTGATACACAAAATACATTTTTTTTCTCACAATCTTCGTTCTAGCCAATGTACTAATTTCTTTCTTCAACTGAGTGATAGCTTCAATTGCTAACTTCTGATTAGTGACTTGAAATATTACAAATTATAACTTAGTTGAACTCTCAAACAACTGCTTATTTTTTATTTTCTACTTCAATTTCACTCTAACATTTTTTACGAAACTATCAGTTGTTTGAGCTGTCCAGAAATGATAGAAGATTCAAAATCATTTTTCGCATTTGTCACTTTTCTTCACTCACAAATCTTGACAAAAAGTCTGTAAGCGAAAATAGGAAAATAAATTGGTTATCAAAATATGATTTATTTCATATACAAAATTCATTTTATTAATAAAAATATGCACACCAAACACAATCTTGAGCAGTTTTTGTACTCAAAATGATTAACAATGCAGAAGAAAAAAAGCTACCCAGGATCATTGGAACTGGTGCCATCCTCGGAACTTGGACTTTGTTGGACTGTTTCAACATCATTGGCACTATTTTCAGCTGAATCCATAACTACGATTCTATACTACAATAATAACAATAATGATAATGATTCAGCTTGTATTCTAGCAATCAGTGAATGAATGGTTCCAAGTATCTGTTCGATCCAAGTAGACTTTCTAAATTAAGCAAGCAAAATACAGTTGTAAAATACGTAAGCAAAACAGCAAGTATAAAATTAATTTAAAAAATCTGAATGATCAGGAAAAATTGTAATCGAAGAAACAACCTACTATAGCAATAAACAGATGATATCTTCTTTCCTTTTTCGCTCGTAAAAAAGCTCACCGGAAAAATCACAGAATGTTTCTAGCGACAAATAAATCAGTAAGGCTCTTACGAACCTGTGATCCAGTTTTTTAGTAGAGTAATGATTTTGATCAGTGATAACTAAGGTAATAAATTATATGATAAATTCTTGTTTTGCCCCCGTTGAGCAGAAGAATATTAGAAACACAAAAAATACTGCGACCCTTTTTGTGTAACAATTATCTCTGAAAAAGAATAACAAACTGCAAGCTTTTGCTATTTTTGTGATTGAAATTTTTCATCATAAAATCACAGCAAAACAAAAGAAAATATGTAAATTTGTTATTTCTGACAAACTCTTTGTTCTGTTCATAGAATGCACAAATATTTTCATCACAGAAATCCTCTTTCACGTAGGTTTATTTTTTTCAAAGTCAAATAGCGTGGAAAAATTGATCAAAGCAAAACAAAATCTACACTTTAAAGTGAAAAACATATAGACGAATCGTTTGAAAACTTGTTTTAAAACTACTTTTCAAAAAAAAAAAAATAACGTAATAGAAAATTTTCTAACTTATCAGATCGTCAAACAGAAATAATACAGCTAAGTATGAGTGTACATACATTCATTACCAACAACCTCATTCATCAATCACTGCACAAATTCACAAGACTCATACTACATTTTAAATATTTAAACGTGGCTTAGCAATTTTTGTTGAGCTTGGCCACCTCAAATGAGAATTCTCAATGCTCCTTGGTGCATCATAATATTATACATTAATTATACAAATAAATAAACAAGCAAAAATGGATAAAACCATAAAATGATAGCGCATGCTAAGACTTCAAATAAATACAGAAAATGCAAATGCATGTTCGAAATTTTTTGCAACGAATGTCGTTTGAATGAATTGAAAATTTGTTATATTTAAAGATTAAATAAACAAAGCCTTTCGTATAACCGATCCATCGATGAAAATCATTAGTATAATGTGAGGCACAATGAAATAGATTTTCTGAATAAACGAAAAAATTTTTTAAATATTGAAAGTCATGTGAGAGTACGAATGAAATATCATTAAATTGAATGCATTTAAAAGGATATAAGTACGTTATCAATTTTTAACACATAATGGCAATGTGAAACGTATTTTGTACATATATAAACATGAAGTGCTGATAAGATGGAATTAATATCATTAACGAAAGAAAGACTGGTGAAGAGGCAAACAAGAAAGCATAACAATTGGAATTATAAATAAAAATTAAATATGAACGAAGGAAAGAAGCAAAGTATATTCAATTAAACTGAGTAATTAAATTCTGTACGCATGAATGCACAAATTGATGCTATGAAGTTTGTTGATTAAATGAACTTCGCGCGCAGCAAACTTAGACCTCCCTTCTAATGCTTCTGGTTTATTCCAGAGTTTGTTTTTGCTACTTTCGTCAGCTGCTGTTGATCAACTTCTTAGGCCAACTGACTTAACTCAAAAGTTATAATGCAGAATAACTAACTTTTATCGATAAGAGGTTATAATATAGAGCATTTGTTGGCTTCACTAACTAAACTGCACTGGCTACTGAGTGTGTGCATGGGTGAGTGTACAGATGTAGTGGGTGCGTGTGCTTTTTCATGTTTTTCATAAATTTAGAAGGCATTCGCGAGAGTGACTCAACAACTCGACGTTTGGAAAGCGATACATCAGAAATATCATGTCGGTCTAAGTGAATTCGTCTAGGCCAATAGCTCTCTTTTGTATTCACTTTTATTATATCTGCTAGCCTGTTTTGCTATGATTAAGTTTAACAGTAATATGTAAGCCTGTAATGATATTAATGATGTACCAATACTACTTCCGTGAATATGATTATGTTTCTATGATTAGCAGCAATAATAATGGCAAGAATAACAAGCTATTTGGACCATAACGATCTTGCTGCGTGAGCAAGCTATTTTGACCACTGCTAAAAATAGCAGTTACTTGGTAATAGTGATGATAGTAACTGCATGATGGCGTAAAAACTTTATATAGGACAGTGAATAATATTTTTAAATTGGAAGTTAAAGTTGATAAGTGGACTGAAGTACAAGATTATTATATCTTTTAGAAACTCACATCCATTCCATTGATATTGAAACTGAATGAATGATGATTACCTCGCATTTTTACAAATACATTTAGATTATTTGACATCTAAGACAAAAATGGTCCACTACTCTATTACAAGATGCATTTTTTTAATCAGTAGATCAATCGATGCTTTGATCCGTTGGACAGTAGCGAAAATTTCCGATGAATCAATAATTGATAAATAATTTAAAGAGTGTAGTGAGAACTGAGTGCAAGTAAAGATTCAAATATACAAACAATTCTGCATGAATACTAATGTCCTTCTGAACAAGTGAATGAATGTTTGTGTCGGGGAATAGGGCAAAGTTCACTTCCATTCCTATATCACAAGAATGGCATTCAGAAGGACATTAATATTCATGCAGAGTTTCTTCATACTTGCTCCCACACCACAACACTATTTTGCCCAAACAACTTTATACTCTTCCTTACCTGCTACATTTATCATATACAAACATTCATGTAGTCTATTATCGAATAAACTTTTTATTCATTTGCCGAAAAATCGATATTTTACTTTGATGTTTACGTGGAATAGTGTCAAGCGTTTGAAATATATGTTGATCGTGTTGTGTGCAGTAACAATATATATACATAGTAATTAGAACGTTGTTGATAAGTGAAGTGCAGAACCCAATTCAGTAGTTCGCGGGCTGAATTAGTTGTTTTGTACGATTTAATAACAAATCAATGCTAGAGATTCTGTAATGCGCAGAAACTACTTGCAGTCACGTGAGCACTTGGCCTGGCTAGTGTGATACACGCTAGCAATTTTTGCTTTCAACCGCAATTTGCAATCGCTTCTTGAAAAAAATGTTTAAGACTGGGAGAAACCAGTTCGTAAGTGGTGAGTCAGAAGGAATGATTACCAACTTTAGGATGTAAGGCAAACTGAAGAAAGTAGGGTACCGCTACCGAAGAAAACATCTATTTGTTTACTTATTTTATTTATTTACTGCAATAAACTGTTAGTAAATGTAACTGCCATTCAATTTTGCTTTCACGCCACATAAATCCCTGTTCTAACTTACTCGTTATACGGCCCACAACTAGTAGTGCGCAGACAAGATATTCACATGACTCTCAGTTATTTAAGCGCAATAATTTCATATCATTTGTGTATGTTTTGCTGTTTCACACTACTACAAGCTTAATTTAACAATTTTAACAAATAACACTGACTTTTTGCTAATAATAATGCAAAATAATCTAACAGCAACACTAGTCGAACAGGGCGAAACTCTGAGAGTAAATCTTACAGAAAATCGACAGCAACTGAAACTCACGCGAATAAATAGGAAGCAAAACTAAAAAACTTCAATAACAATGCCACTAATGACACTGATATTCCATCTAAAAAATATTATAAAACATACATTAACTTTGAATGATAATTATTTCCAGTGAAAATAGTTTAAGGTTTCTTTTTCGAACTTGTATTAATTGCTCACAAGGGTAAGGACAAAATTTCTAACTCCTTTACAAAGTTGGCTCTAATTTAAATCGAAAGTAAGCAAAACAAAAATGTTTTGGTTTTTTATTAGTGAGCTATTTGCTATAAAGAACTTGGTAAACAAGGTCTTAGCAAGAAAATTAGATGTTAATAATAATTGCAAGCTTCTCCCCTACCCATTCATTCATCTACTACCTCCATAGTAAATCACTTAAGCTTGCTTCGTTTATGAATTTCATTCCCTCATCTCTCTCTTTAATAGCCACGAAGATCATTCACGCAATAATCAATTTATCTCCCTTATAACTTTTTGTCATCTAACAAGTCTTCTAATCAATAACTTCTCGGATTTACAAACTCTGGAAGATATTTTAACGGATTTCCCTTTTATTTCACTAACCATACAGTACAAACACATCATAATCAATTAAACAACATTAACATCATTTTTGACAATGTAAATTGTTGGAGAGAGTGAGGAATATTGTAAGATATGCAGAGTCCTCATTATTTTCTCCTGTTGGGCAGGTTTGTTTGAGAGTCGAATTACCGATTGAATGTAGGACTGGTTTTGGTGATTTAATAAATCAATGAATGGACGATTGACTGACTGACTGACTGACTGACCGACTAACGTACTGGAAATGCATAGCGAATTATGTACCAAAATTTGAATGCAAGCAGTATAGGCTGGGCAATTCCCAACTCACCTCTGCTCTGCTGACACGCAGGCAAACATCTGCGTGCAGCTGATTTCGGCTGCAATCCTTCGATTTTCGCCCTAGCAGCAATGATTTTTCCTATGCTGTACTAATCGATTGTCTGATTATAATTTCCAATCCCCTTATGGTCATCTCATTGGTCAATAACTGTATGCATGATTTTATCTGACTCAAAAGAAAATACGATTTTCAAACAGAATTGGCAGCAGCATAGAAAATACGAAATGTAATCAAATACACTCCGATCACGATCACGTACATCATCTTTCTGTATGAATAAGTAAGTCAGAACAGTCAAGTAACGATTGAGAAGAAGTAGCTGAATGCATGAAATAAAAGAATGCCTGTGAAATGCGTTCTTGCGTCGTCAGGGATGGATATCATTCATATTTCTGTATGGAACAACAACCGCATGCAATATATTTCCTAGTTTTTCGAGTGCGTAAGA